ATTATAAGCCAGAGCCACTGTGCCTGGCCATAATCCTGTGATCTTACGCGACTAGCACATACTTATCCTGGCACCCCGACCCTTAACCATACTTCAGCTTGAATCTCTAACCCAGTTGAGAGTGTTCCCTGGCTAACTACACCGGGCCCACAGGTAACATTTAGTCTATGGAGCTTATAGTTCTGTGATTTGTGTGTTCACTTCTTAGGTTCCAGTTCAGTGATACAAACAGGTTCTAGATCTGTATTAGACTTGTGTTGAGTTTTAGTTCCACCTTTTATTAAATGTGTGACCTTGGAGCAAGTTATTTTAACAGATGAGGATTAAACGACAATGAGTGTGAAAATGTCTAGCATAGAAGCTGGCACATTGGATATTCTTAGTAAATGGGAACAACCAGGTAAAAAACGTAGCAGAGATATCCTGCCTCTGTACTTAGTTAGCAGTTGACTCTTCTGGCAAAAACATGTCACTATCCCCACCATTAATCCTCCTTTAACCAAGATCTCAGGAATTTTTGTTCTTTGTTTTGTTTTGTTTCGTTTTTTTGAGACAGGGTCTCGCTCTGTTGTGCAGGCTGGAGTGCAGTGGTATGATCATGGCTCACTGCAACCTCCACCTCCCAGGCTCAAGCAATCCTCCCGCCTTAGCCTCCTGAGTAGCTGGGACTACGGGCACATGCCATCACGCCTGGCTAATTTTTGTATTTTTTGTAGAGACAGGGTTTCACCATGTTGCCCAGGCTTGTCTTGAACTCCTGGGCTCAAGTGATCTGCCTGCCTCAGCCTCTCAAAATTCTGGGATTACAGACATGAGCCACCAAGCCCGGCTGATCTCAGGTTTTAGAGTCAGACATATGAAGTTACAATTCAGGCTCCACCACTTACCAACTGTATGACCTTGGACAAATGACTTTTTCCTCTTTGAGACTCAGCTTTCTCACCTATAAAATATGAATAATGGTACCTACTCCACAAGATTGTTGTGAGGATCAAATTATATAATGCATGTAAAATGTTAGCTATTTTTCTTTAATAATAATAAGTCATAGTAGCATCCAACTGCTGCTGATTAAAGTTGAAATTCTTTGACCCAGCATACTGTGGCCCCCATAATTCCTTCCTCGCCTCTCCTCATGCTGCTCCCCTATGTGGATGCCACACTCAAGCCAGATGTGTCTTTCTCACTGCTATGTCTTTGCCCACGATCTTCCTCTCCATTCAGGATGCTCGCTCATACCTCCCACCTGGTAACACCCCACCCAGCTCAAGCCTCACTTCCCAACTAAGCTGGCAGCCCCCTCTGCTGCTCTGGGTTTCCACAGCATTTCCAGCCCGCACATATTAGTGCTCAGACTGCCCAGAGGAAAACTTCTGTTGGCACTTGTCTTGCCCATGCTACCCCTCTTCCGGTGCTCACACTTGATTTATCTTTGAGGGAACTGATCTTTCTCCACTATCAGTCCATGTGCGGTTCCGAGGATAAGTATGCGCTCAGGCCTTAGACAAAGTCACCATGATTAATTAAGAGGTGGACACTTGACCAAGCGGGGCCAATCTGGCTCAGCCCTGGAACGTTTGCTCGAATTATTCTTTTTCCACAGGCACTGCTAAGCTGAAACAATGTAAATTAGATCTACTAGTAGCCTTATTTGTCACCTTGAAGACAGAAATGGATTTAAAATGAGTGAGCACAGAGGAACCAAGAAATGGAGAGAGACAGATTCTTCATGGCATGATGTGAGCATCTGGATCTGTCCATGCCCAAAGCCAAATACTCCTGACTTTCAAATTAAGTGAGCCGATAAACTCTAGCTTGTTTATTTTTTTCTAATTTATTTAAGCCAGCTCGAGTTGGGTTTCTGTCGTTCGCCACTGAAAGACTGCTGACTAATATAGTGACTTAACCAGACAGTATGCTCCCTGAGAGCAGGAATTGCATTTTATGGACCTAAGATCCTTGGAGACAGGGATGACATCTTACGCATATCAGTATTACAGGACTAAGCATAGGGATGGTTACAGAGCAGGTGAAGAACAAACAAAAGAATACATATCTTTTTGTATTTTCCCAATGCCCCCATGCTCTGCACTCAGAGGACCCCAAAATACTTGAATAAAAGTTAACAGGAACAGGCCAGGCGTGGTGGCTCACACCTGTAATCCCAGCACTTTGGGAGGCCGAGGCGGGTGGATCATCTGAGATCAGGAGTTTGAGACCAGCCTGGCCAACATGGTGAAACCCTATCTCTACTAAAAATACAAAAAATTAGCCAGGCATTGTGGCAGGTGCCTGTAATTCCAGCTACTCGGGAGGCTGAGTTAGGAGAATCACTTGAACCTGGGAGGTGGAGGTTGCAGTGAGCCGAGATGGTGCCATTGTACTCCAGCCTGGGCAACAAGAGTGAAACTCCGTCTCAAAATTAAAAAAAAAAAAAAAAAAGTTAACAGGTACAAAATCATATGATAAGCACTTTAATTCTTATGTGACACAAACAGAGCCCTTTGATTCTCCACAGTTCCTCTGAGGATGACTGATTTATCACTTTCTGAATGGAATGATCTTGATGAAAGAGTTGTCCCAGGATCCCCACAGGGCTGAAAGAGATACTTTATTTTTTATTTATTTTATGTTATTTTTTTGCAGAGACAGGGTCTCGCTATGTTGGCCAGGCTAGTCTCCAACTCCTAGCCTCAAGCAATCTTCCCACCTCAACCTCCCAAAGTGCTGGGATTATAGGTGTGAGCCACCATGCCTGGCCAAGAGATACTTTAAATCACCTTATCTACCTGCTCCCAGTCCCCTATTGTACAAATGGGAAACTGAGATTTAAACTAAAAGGCTTACTTAACAATGCATGGTGAGTCACAGACCCAAGTCAGCCAAGAACCCCCACCCCCAAGACTTGTAGTCCAGTGCTCTGGCCTCTGGCCTGGTGTCACTTTATTAAGCAAAGTGAATCAGTCACTCACCCAAAGAACTCAGAAATCTCTGAACAAAGTGGAATAAACTGCCCAACTCTGCCAACTGCCCCCTCAGCCCACATGGGTAGGGCAGTAATGCAAGGAAAAGTGCCCTGGGCCAGAAGTCAAGAACCCCTGGCTGTAGAACTAGCTTCCTCCCTTACCAGCTATGTGATCTCAAGTAAGCCCTTCCCGTCTCTATACTCAGTTTCCTCTCTCTAAAACAGGGGGAGGGGAAGGTGGGATTTGAAGGAGCTGATCTCTAAGGTGCCTGAAATTCTATTATTATATGGGGGTTGTTGGACAATTCATCAAATCCCCAAGATTAAACCCACACAGATTACAGAGAATTTGAATGCCAAGAGGTCAGCAACTCATCTGCAGACTCCAGATTAAGGTTGATGAATTGAGGGTTCCAGCTTGCCTTTGCAGGAGAAATAGAACGGAAATACATAATATCACCTCCATGGGTACCACAGAGAAGTATGGAGCCATATCCCTCACATCCTATAGTTCACCTTTCTCATCCTCTTCAAAGATCCACATCTAAATTGAGTTGAGTGAGATGAATTTGAAACAAGCCCATTAGGATGTCCACATCTGCCTTCTTCAAAGTAGTCCTTTTAGGAGTTTGGGCAATTCTTCCAATGAGGCAGTAATTCCTCCCTGCATTTGTAAAAGTCCTCTTGTGGAAACAGACCAGCCTCATGACTTTGTCCTCACACCGTGGCTGTCATTTCAAGTGACAATTATCAATTTGATGACCCATTGTATTCTCTATACTTGACCTGGAGTGACTTCCAGCCATTTCCAAAAGTTACAGTCGTCATTTAAAAGATAGAGGTCTCTCCTCAATGATGATATTCAAGTGATTACACTCCATGTTCCAAAGTTAATTCCCTGCAATGCTCTGAGCAATGGAATCATCAGAAAGTGATATAATGCCTCCTCCAGGGGGTCTCTTTTGGAATGGCAGTCACTTGTTGAATGTCCTGAGGTGCTTATTTTAAAAAACCATCTCTGCAGCATGACAATCACATTTCCCCCTTCTCTTTCTCATCCCTGGAAGACTCCAAACTTTTCCCTTCACCAGCTCTCCTCCCCCACCCCTCCCATCCCCTGGCCCCACTTTCCTCAGCCCAACTCTCTTCCCTGCCAGCAATTAGGCAAAAGCCTAAGTTGCTGAGTCTTCAAAATCTATCTCTGATCGAAAGGTGGGTGGAAGTGGGGGACTCTAATGGGTCCTGAAAAATTGTCTCAGCATTTCTCATTCCCAAAAGGCCCTTCTCTGGTTCTTAGGGTAAGATGACTGCCTTGGTCAAACATTTTGGAGGGTCCCAGGGACTCACTCCCATTGGGCATGGCACCAGAACTTTCCTGCATGGTGCAGGGGCGGGAGGTGGGGATGGAGACCTGCCCTCCAGAGACCTATGTCACCCAATGCTTTTGACCACTCACATCTCAAAACATTGGATAAGCACAATAGACAGCCTCTCCTTATCACAGCATTTTAAAGGTTACAAAACACTCTTTCATTTGTCCTTTTGGCACCTTCTCCACTGTTTTACAGATGAGGAAACCGAGCCTCAGAGAAGTAAAGTGAAACACCCAAGTTGATAGTGTCAGCAAGTTAAAAGTCCAAGCCAGATCTCTTGATTCACCTTTTATGCTTTTTTTCAACATAACAGAAATCGATCAAACCTACAGTAACCCCTCATTCAGATAAATATTTCCCCCAAGACAGCCAACAGAGACCCTTGGAGACACTAACTTAATGCTAGCCCAGCAATAAATGCAGTCTACCCATATCCAAGCATACAGACCCACCTATCTAGTCCCAAGGCTCTGTCCCCTGCCCTAAGGTGTCTTTATCCAGTGCACCCCCTCCCCAGTACCCACTGAGGGTCCGTCAACCAAGGAGGTGAGTCTTAACACAGAGAAGCAAAATCTACCTGACTCCTTCAGGAAGGGGACCTGGCAGGAAGGAGACCCGTCCCCGGCGCTCGTTCTGGGGGTTCCGCCCACCCCCTCCCCTACCTGCCAAGAGCTGCATCCAGGCGCAGATCTTGTAGACCGTAGCTGTGTTGCAGAAGAAGAAAAGCGCAAAGCAGGTGATGCAGCCGAGGATCAGCACCATGGAGAGCAGCACGAAGAAGGCGGCCGCCTTGAAGGCGCTGGACGGGATGGTGCTGAAGTCGGTGAAGGAGCCCCGGCAGGTGAGCTCGCGGCCCGCCAGCCCGCTGCCCACGCAGTAGTGGAAGAGGCCGAAGTAGCCAGGCTTGGGGGTGCTCACGCTGTCGCCCACCCAGTAGGGCTGGATGAAGACCACCACGTTGATGATGGCGAAGCAGATGGTGAAGATGGCCCACAGCACGCCGATGGCCCGCGAGTTCCGCATGTAGTGCTCGTGGTAGAGCTTGGAGGCCTCCTGCGAGGGCAGCATGGTGCCCGGAGGCGGGGCCGGCGGCGGCGGCGCCTGGCGGGGGCCGCCGGCCCGGGACGGAGCGCCGGGCTGTCGGGCGGGAGCTGGGGACGCACGCGAGAAGCGGCCCTGAGTCAAGGAACCCGCGAGGGCGGGGCCTGGGGCAGAGCTGGGGGCGTCTGGGAGCTGATAAGGGGAGAGAGGAAGGGGTCATGAGAGTGTTGAGGCGGTGTCTAGGGGGACTGGCAAAGGTCTCCTATTGGGGGCCTAGGAAGGGGCCATGAGAAAGTTGGGGGGAGCCTGGGATGGGGATATGAGACCTGGAAGGGGTAGGGGAAGGTGCTTGAAAGTGGCCATGGGGGAGTTGAGGAGGGGGTTTGGGAGCTGGTATTAGGGGAGTAGGAGGGGACAGGGGGAGGTGGAATGGAGGCTGGAGACTGGTATTGGAGGACTAGCAGAGGGGCTGAATTTAGGGAGCTCGGAAGGGAATTTGGGGACTGGTATTAAGGGGTAGAAGGAGGTCTGGTATTGGGTGTCTAGGAAGGGACTATGAGGCGGTGGTGGGCGCTTCTAGGATGGGGGAAGAAGCAATTTAAGAGGCTGGGACTGGGTGGTTGGGAAGGTGATATGGGGGCTGGGACGGGGAATGGGGGCTGGTATGAGGGTCTAAGAGGGCAAAGTGGCAGAATTAGGATACAACTAGAGGGGGGTCGGGGGCTAGGACTGCTGGACACTGGGCGAGGAGGGGGGGCTGTCCTCAGAAGCCAGGGCTGGAGGTAGGCTGGAGGGAGCCTAGGATTGGCGGGCCAGGTTTGGGGAGAGGGGGTTTCCAGGCCAAAGGACCGAAAGACCGGGGCTGGTGGGCAGCGGGGCCCGCGAGGAGCAGGCGGTGGGCAGGGGCTGTCCCCGGGGGGCTGGGGAGCGGCCGGGCCCGAGTAGGGCCGGGGTTGGGGGGGCGGCTGCCCCGCGCCCAGGCCGGACGCGCGCGAGGCTGCGGCCGCGGAGAAAGGGTGCGGGGAGACCAACCTGGGCACGGTCGAGGGTAGCGGATCCGGGACTGGCACGGCCTAGGCGCCGCGGCTCGGCGCTCCCAGCAGCGGCTGCCTCGGCCCAGGCGGCGGCCTCTGCGCGGCCTCCATCTTGCTCGGGTTCTCCCCGGGGCGCGCTCCCGCGCCGAGGCGCGCGCTCTCGTGCACCGGCGCGGCCCGGCGGAGGCGCGCTCCCGCGCGGGCGTGCGGGACGGGGCGGGGCGGAACCAGGAAAGGGTGCCCCTGGTTCTGGCAGTTGGGGGGAAGGGTGGCCACGATCCCTAGGGTCCCCCAGCCGGGGCAGCAAGCACCCCTCCACAGTAGGGCCCCCTGGTGTAGGGGACTCCCTTCTTCCAGCCTGAGCTGAGGGGCTGTGAGGCCCCACAAAGCCTATGGGAGTGGGGGGAGGGGCTGGAGGGGGTATTATTTGATAGGATTTGAACTGGATCTCTTACTACCAATTACCTCCCCTAGAACCTATCACAGTGCCTGAAGTTGCACCATTACGCTTTCAGTCCTTTAGGTCTTGGAGGCGTTGAAGGTTCCCAGAGTCTCCTAGGAAACTGCCAACACCCCTGGGAGAGGGAAGCCCCTAAACTGGTAGCAGCCCACGCCTGCGATGGGGATTCGTTGGCTGCTAGGGCAAGGAGGGAGGCCTGGGGAACGGGACCCAGAGTGAGTACTAGGGGACAGGAGAGAAAGGGGCTTGGACATTTTTGGTTTCCCTCCCTACACTCTCCCCTGCCCCCAGCCCAGCGCCTGGTGTGAAGTAGGCACACCATAAAGATGTGTTAAAGAACAAAGGCACACCATAAAGATGTGTTAAGGAAAAAGCATCAAAGACCAGGCACAGGGTTAGGTCACAGAACACCCCAGGGGCACCTCAAGGGAGCCCGTGTGGGTCATTTCTTTCCCTGTTGGAAAAGAGCCTTGGCTTAGGATTTATCAAGATGATGTGGGTTTGAACCCAGACAAACTGAGTTTAGAACTGTCTCTGTGACCTTGCAATACCAGTCTCCCTAAATCTGTTTCCTCATCTGTAAAGTGGGTGGATTAAGTCTCACTTCACAGGTATGTAAGTGGGGTGGGGTGGCAAAAAGTAATCCATGCTAGTAGGTCTCAAATACCAGACCCCATACATGGGTCAATCTCAAAATGTGTATCTGGAGCTGGGCACAGTGTCTTGTGCCTGTCATCCCAGCTACTTACATCCCAGCTACTTGCCCTCCCTTACATCCCAGGGAGGGTAAGGTGGGGGAACCATTTGAGGCCAGGAGTTCAAGGCTGCTGTGGGCTATGATCGTGCCACTGTACTCCAGCCTGGGCTACAGAGACAAGAAATGCATTTTTATCTGCAAAAAAAAAAAAAAAAAATCATGTAAGATTGCCAATTGTCTTTTTTCCAGTGGGGAAGTGGGACTGCTCTTTTATTTTGAGATTGTGTATTTCCTACTTGCTTAGTGTAAAAAAAAAAAAAAAACCCACTTCTTTTAAGAAATAGTGGTGATAGTTAATGGGAGGTTTTAAAAATGTCTTTATTTGCCAAAATAAAAAATAGGTAGCCTATTTCAATCCCAAATTTTATTAAAGTTATGGATCCATAAAATCCCACAATTTGGAGACCTGGGAACCATGTGAATTAGTCTCATTAAGCACCTGAACATGAAGTGCCCAATAAATTTGACTTCCCCTTCCATTTGGCTTCTTGAGAGGCATCCTGGCTGTTTCCTGAGAACCCTGCGATCCTGGAATCATGAGCTGCAGGGTCTGTGGAGAGCGTTTCTTTCTATATCTTCTCCCACTTTACAGATGGGGAACAGAGGTCAAAGAAGGGGGTTGACTTATCCAGAGAGGTAGGTAGATCCTGCCAGTCAGACTGATCAACTTGGTTCATTAATTTATTCAATTATCCAATAAATGTGTGAGGCCCCTGTGATGTGCCAGGCACAGTTACCCTCAGCTAAGCACTGGGGAGAAGGTGGTCAGTAAAACAGACATGGTCCCTGCCAGAGCTCACAGTTTCACAGGGAGATGGAAGGTGCTGGGGGCAGGGAACAGGGAGGTGGCCACCATCAAAGAGCATCTCAGAGTCCCCTCTGGGGCTGCTCCTGGTTTGGGTCCTGTCCTGAACATACCAGGTTATTCATTACTCTTTACTCCTTACTTTGCTTGAATTATTGCCTTATTGTCTAGCCTACTGAGCCAGGTTAAGCAGTCCTGGGAAAAAATCATAAAAGTCCACTTATTACTCTTCCTCAAGGCAAGAAGTGAGAGTTCTTGCTAAGATGGACCCCCAGTTCCTCTGTGGTTGCTCTGCAGAGCAAAGACACCCTGTAGAGATCCGCCTACCACCCACTCACTCCTGACAACAGTGCTTTTTATTTGAAGAATCTTCTTTCTCCTCACTTGATCCCTTAGTGGGTCTCTCTCCCTCTCTCTCTTTTTCTCTCTCTCTGTCTCTCTCTCACACACACACACCACCACACACACACACACACACACACATACACGATACTCCACTCCAGAGGGGTCAAATGATCAGGCCTGGACAATGAGAATACTCCACTGTCCTGGACACAGTGACTGGTTCATAAGTGGGCCCATAACCCAGGTCAAAGAATTGAGAATGATATCCAGCTCATGCGTTGCAGTTTATAGAAAAGAAGTGTTCTCTTTCTGTTGAGTGTGTTGAGCTGAGGGAATTGTGAGCTGAAGCTAGTGGAGACAGAGCTTCAGTAGAGAGCTTGTCTAAGAATAAGATCGACACAAAGGGAAGCTACGACACAAATGGAAGCTATGAAATGGAGAGGGAGGCCAGGCACAGTGGCTTACACCTGTAATCCCAGCATTTCGAGAGGCCGAGGCGGGCAGATCACTTGAGGTCAGGAGTTTGAGACCAGCCTGGCCAACACGGCATAACCCCATCTCTACTAAAAATACAAAAATTAGCAGGGCATGGTAGCAGGCACCTGTAATCCCAGCTACTCGGGAGGCTGAGGCTGGAGAATCACTTTAACCCAGGAGGCAGAGGTTGCAGTGAGCCGAGATCCCGCCTCTGCACTCCAGCCTGGGCAACAGAGTGAGGAGACTTCTCGCAAAAAGAGAAAGAAAGAAAGAAAGAGAGAAAGGGAGAAAGAGAGAGAAAGACAGAGAGAGAGAGAGAGAGAGAAATAAAGGAAGGAAGGAAGGAAGGAAGGAAGGAAGGAAGGAAGGAAGGAAGGAAGGGAGAAAGAAAGAAAGAACATACATTCTGGTGACATAGTTTGAGCATCTGGATCCATCTGTGTCTGAAAATATACTTCCAAAATTTTTTTTTAAAGTTACCCAATACAAGTTTTGCTTAAGCCAGTTTGAGTTAGTTTTTAATCACTTCCAATCAAAATAACTAACCTCAACAACTTACCTACATTCCTTCAAAAGAGAGAGAGCAGGGGCATTATTTATCCAGTGTACTACTTTTATAGAAAAGTACCTGGGCCAAGCATGGTGGCTCACACCTGTAATCCTAGCACTTTGGGAAGCCGAGGCGGGTGGATCACCTGAGGTCAGGAGTTCAAGACCAGCCTGGCCAACATGGCAAAACCCCATCTCTACTAAAAATACAAAAATCAGCTGGGCGTGGTGGCATGTGCCTGTATTCCCAGGTACTCAGGAGGCTGAGGCAGTACAATTGGTTGAACCTAGGGGTGGAGGTTTCGGTGAGCCGAGATTGCACCATTGCACTCCAGCCTGGGCAAAAACAGTGAAACTCTGAGAAAGAAAGAAAGAAAGAGAGAAAGAGAGAGAGAGAAAGAAAGAAGGAAAGAAGGAAAGAAGAAGGAAAGAAGGAAAGAAAAGAAAAAAGAAAAATGCCTGGATGGGTGAGCTACTCCTGATAGATTGAAAGTAAAAGACCAGAATTTGAAGCCCATCTCTGCCACATGTTAATTGTGTAACCTGGGATGACAATGCTACTCTTCAGAGCCTTGTTTTCTTCATCTGTCAAATAGAGAAGAACGTAATTCCTTCCCACAGATGTTGTAAGGATTAAAGGAGGTAATGGATAGGAAAAGAGCTTTGTAAACTGAAAGAGGCTATAAATGTAAGTGATTATCATTAAAGTTTAATAATAAGTGACTTGTCCAAAGAGTTTAAATAGCAGTAGTATTAGAAATGCACTTGCTGAGCCGTAAGGAGTTGGGACAGGACATGTTCTCATTTTAAAGACTAAACTTGGAGCAGTTACAGAAAGAAAATCTGAGAGCTCTCTACGAGAAGAACATCTTATCGACCCCAGGGAGGGGCCAGACCAGAATGGAAGACTTGTGTGGTTCAAATGAGGACTGTAAATCTTAAGCAAGTATGATGCCGGATTGCATTTGGATGAGAAGAGAAGCCCTGGGTACTTCCAGCCAATATCCTGCTGAGGAATGATTTGCAACTTGCTGGTAGCTCTTACTGCATTCTAGGTCCCCTGTTCATTGCCTTACATGTATCGTCTCATTTAATCTTCACAATAACTCTATGAGGTAGTGTTATGGCTGAATTGTATCCCCCACAAAATTCATATGTTAAAGTCCAATTGCCCAGTACCTTAGATTGTGACTGTATTTTGAGACAGGGCCTTTAAAGAGATAATGAAGATAAGAAGAGGACATACTGGTGGCCCTAATCCAAAATGCCTGGAATCTTTATAAAAAGAGATTAAGACACAGACAACACAGAGACCAAGGGATAACTGTGCAAGGACATGGCAAGAAGGCAGTCATTTATAAGCCAAGGAAAGAAGCCTCAGAAGAAACATTTACCAACGTTTAGACTTCTAGCCTCCAAAACTGTGAGAAAATTAATTCATGTTGTTCAAACCACACAGTCTGTAATATTTTGTTATGGCAGCCCTAGCAAACTAATGCAGGTAGGTACTACTGTATGCCCATTTTACAGATGAGGACAGTGAGGTTCTTTGATTTACCCAAATTCACACCTCTAGCAAGTAGAAGAGCTGGGGTTTGTCCCCAAGCAATCTGCTCCAAAACCCACATTCTTAATTGCCGTGTCAAATAAACCATTTTCAAGAGTGGATTTAATTTTTTTTTTTTTTTTTTGAAACAGTGTCTTGCTCTGTCACGCAAGCTTGGAGTGC